GGTCAAGGAGGCCAATTTTGAGTGAGTCTGGGAAGTTGGAGACTGTCCCCTGAGGGATCTTATCAAGAACCTGCCCCTGCACCACCCTGTTGCCAAGGTAACCAGTCCCAGGAATTTCCCCTCCCAACAGGGAGCTGTATGGTTGTTACAGTGTCCCGGTCTACTCCACCCTGCCCTTCCCCCTTCAGCCCACCTATTTCCCACCTTTTGGCCACACCACTGAGCATTCCTGGGCCTAGTCATGTACACAGGAAGGAGAAAGATAAGGGGGGAAAGGCAGGAGAACAAAGGAAGACTAGAACACATAAAAAGGGCAGAACATCTTGCCTTTTGGGATACCATGATACCAGCTATGGCCCCCTTCTCCCTCGAAGGAGAAGTCTATGTTACCCCTTTTTAAATAAACCTGCCTCATATGCTTGCCTCCGCGTGCTTCTCTAATGTTCAAACTTCAACATGCGGGAAAGCAGGACTCACCGACAACTGGCGGTATCACAAGCTGCCTCCTCTCCCCAATCAAGAGAGCCTTCAATTAAGGATTCTCTTTCCAAAAACATACAAGAACACCTCCTGTGGGGTGGAGTTGGCCCACCTACGCCTGCACACAGTAGGTAATCCCCAATGGCTGAGGACTCTCTTCTCAAAAAGCTTTTTCAGTTGATTTTTAGGGTCTTTCCACTTGGTTTGCTCTGTCCTCCCCTTTCCCTTATCTCTGTACCTTGGGAATGTTCTGGAGCTCAGCTGTTTTCTGTTTGTTTTATTGGTGCGTTGTAATTGTTTGTAATAGTTAGGTTTGTTCTGACATAATCATACATGCCTTGAACTTGATTTACTCCATTTCCGTTCTCAGTGTCTCCCTTTCCCTCCATTCCTCCCTCTTCCTATTTCCCTTCTCTTTACTGGTCTACCTTGTACCTCATTTATATATTTTTAATTGGTGCTTTATAAATATCCATAAAGGTGGAATTCACTGTGGTATATTCATACATGCACATAAAGTAATTTTGTCAAATTTGCATTCGAGGACTGGGGTTGTGACTCAGAGGTTGGGCGCTCGCCTAGCATGTGTAAGGCACTGGGTTCGATCCTCAGCAACATATAAAGTAAAATAAAGACACTGTCCAACGATAACTAAAAAATAAATATAAAAAAATTCTTAAAAATTAAGATTTTTTTTTTTTTTTTGCATTTGACAAATCTGTATTTCCTCCCCTTTGCAGTTCCCCTTAATCTCCTTCTACTTCACTGGTCTTCTGTCTTTTGACATCAAGCCCCACTCCCTCCTGACTTAGTGATGTACATTCACTGCTTTGGTGACCTCTAGTCTCATAGCTTTATAAACATCCAGGTACTGATGGCTCCTAGCCTCTCCATCCTACCTCTCTCCTGATTTCAGTCATTATGCAACCACCTACTTGACATCTCTACATAACTCATAAGAATCTCAGGCTTGACAAAAGGAAAACCCAAATCCCAATTTTCCCTCCCAAATCTGCACCACTCAACTCCCAACTTCTTAAAAGCTTTGGATATCATCCTTTATACCCTATACCCAATCCATCAGCAAACCCCTGCATATCCTGCACTGCCTAATGTCCAACCACCAAAAAGCCATTGTCTAATTCATGGTAGCCTCCTGATTGCCCCCTAGGACCTTCCCATGCTCAACAGCTGATGGTTTTAAAAGGTGAGTATCCATAACATCTCTCTTCTCCACTCACCCTCCATCTCATTTATACTAGGAGCTAAAGCCTTTAAAGTGGCTACCAGGCCCTCCACGACCTGGCCCCACCTGCTCAAGCTACATTAATATTCTCATGGTTCCTTCTGCCAAAAATGTTCCTCTCCCAAATGTGTCCCTGTACTCAAATGTCACATTATCATAGAAGTTTCTCTGATGACCACAAATAAAGTTGGAATCCCAACCTCCCACCTCAGCCTTTCCTATCTCCTAATCCTTCTTTCCTCCGTAGCAGTTACATGTGCATCAGCTTTCCTCTGCTGTGCAAGGAGGTTGCTCTGTCTACAGTTCTCCCCGCACCTAGTAAAATGGGCCTGATGTGTTGCAGACACGTAAACTTATTTGGGTGAATGAATGAATGACTGAAGAATGGTGAAATAAAAGCATGTGGAAATCAGGGTGCCATTCTGCCAGAGTAGTTTAAACAATCCCTCAATTCACAAACCAAATCCATTTTCCAGGCTGCATCAGAGAAAGTAGATAAGGTTGGTAAACAGTATCCACAAAACAAAGCCAGTACTGACGTTGGCCCAATTGGGTCTGAGCAGAGTAATGTTCAACTTCAAGATCTGTTTTGAGAGTTCAACTGAGATAAAATGTATTCCCACAAACCTGGAATATCTAAATTTTCATTCAAATTGGACTTCAGCAGTTTTCCAAGGTCAGTATTGTCCTTTTCTGTCCCTTTCACACTACCTAACAACATTGAACAAAAAAAGAACAATACCACTCTTCATTCTCTAGTGATTGCTGTATTTATAGCATGAAGAAAATACAAAAAACAAAACAACAACAAAAACAGACCCCTGGTTTGAAAAGCAAACCAAAAGGACTTAAAGACTTGATTCCTTTTACTTTAAGTAGTGAGCTACTTAATTACATTTCAATGGTCATATTATCCACAGAGATGCAAGCTTGCAACTGAGACCCTGTCTGTAAATAAAATACAAAAAAAGCTCGGGACATTGTCAGGAGCTGCCACATAGGAGTGAGCACGGACCCTTAGCTGAGTGTCGGAGGGTATGAGACTTTGTTTCTGCTGTAGGTGGAAACAAGTGGACCTCACCTCCAATCTGCAGGGGAAGGAAGCTCTGGGAGTGGGCATCACCCAATGAAACTGGGCTACACCCCGTGAAACCCAATCCCTTGCCTCATTTGGGTGCCTTCCCCTCAATAAATAGGGTCTCAGGCTTGCTCTCACACAACCCTGATTCCTGCAAGCAAAAGGTATTTCTGTGTGTTGCATGCTTCTTTAGCTGTTTTCTTAAGCTATTGGTGCAGACAGCTCTTGTGAACCCAGCTGAGGTCGCCAGCCTGGCTATTGGCAATAGGAGATGGCTCAGTGGTTGAATGCTTCTGAGTTCAATCCCCTACTCTCCAGTAAAAAAAAATAAGGTGAGAAAAAATTACTTATGGGTGGGGTAGTACTTTTACAACCAGCTTACATGGTCTCTTTGAATGGTTCTCAAATCATGATCTGGGAACCCCTGGACATCTATCTTGAGACCATTTTAAGGAACCTGACAGGCCAAATAGTTTTCATGGCACTAAGACATTATTCTCTCAGGAGTATACAGTGGAGTTTACTGGAGATAAAATAATGTGATATCCCAAGACACTGAATGCAGGAGCAGACATGAGAATTTTTCTTCTATGAAGCCAAACAAAAGATTTGCAAAAATGTAAGGTGGTGTAAGCCTGTAATCCCCGCAGCTGTGGAGGCTGACAGGAGGATCAAAGCCAGCCTCAGCAATAGGGAGGCACCAAGCAACTCATAAAATAAAAAAAAAAAAAAGGCTGGGGATGTAGCTCAGTGGTTGAGTGCCTCTGAGTTCAAATCCCGATATACCCCCTACCAAAAAAATTGTTTTGTTAAAGCTATTTTGAATTCTAAAATGATATTTATGTTAGTTTGTAATGTCTTCATTATTTTTAAGCAATATTTAAAAATTTTATTAGTTTTAATTTCTGATAAATATTAAGCTGTAATCCACATAAACAATCTCTATAGGGTCCCAAATTTTTAAGTGTAAAGGAGTACGAAAAGTTGGAGAATTGCTGCCTTACATGTACAAAGTAGTGCATGCCTTCTGTCACCATTAAGAAATGTCACAGCATTTATTGCTGTCATGGCGTTTTGCTTCTTTGCTCTAATCGCAGCTTCCACACTGAAATAGAAACTAGCAGGGGTCTCCCACAAATTCAGAGCTTTTCTAATACTACCCCCAAGTACAAATCAACATTTGTGAAGCCCTGACCCCACTGTCATGAATCAACTGTACAACCAGTGGGATGTTTTAGTAAGCGGTGAAAGATTATTTTGAAATCTAAAAGTAAAAGAAATTTCTTAATGTTATGTTAACATGGCTAGAATTTTCACTAAAATTTGGTGACTATGCTTAAGATGCTGTGAATTAAAATATAAACTATGAGTATATACAAAACCCATCGTGGAAACATCTGAAAAAGATAAGGATTTGTCCTTTTGATGAAACTGAGATTTTAAAATTATTTTTATTTTATACCAAAGTTTGGAGAGGAATGTGGGGTGGTTGACCAGAAATGTATTAAATACAGCATGTACAAAATTCTCTTTTGGGTTGCTGGCTGAGAGGACAGTTCAGAGATTATTAATAAACATCTAGACCACTTGAAACTGAGGAATGAGTCCCTACTGATGGCAAGAAACATGCCACATAAAAACATTAGACAGAGAAGATGCACACAAGTGTCAGATACTACACCCCCTCCCTCCAAATGGAGCAGCCAACTCCAAGCAGCTTCTTACTTGAAAAACTTCACATAGCATATCTCGGGATGAGTAAACACTAAAGGTTTATTTAGTGATGGTTACTGACTCTAAACAATATAAGGCAGGCTGGCTAGTTTATTCATATTGAACCTAAACCTTAGACCTCTAGCTCAACAAAAACATAAGAAACTTGTAATGGCACAAATCCTGCATTAAATCAGATATGGTTTAAATCAGTCTTGTAACTTCTAATACTGCAGGCTGGCACGACAACATGACAAGTGTTTAGTTCAGTTACAAAACTGACTTTCCTTGGCTATCCAATCTTATACAGTAAAAAATGCTGTTTTACAAAAGGTTTTCTTCATACACCCACTACTACCAGTCTCAAGTAATTGCCGTTTCTTCATTTCCCATGAACACTCTAGAGGAGGGGGACTTTCTTTCATCTGTTTACCTTGATGGGTATGAAAAACTAGAGTAAGTTTATAAAGAACAAAGATTAACTGAGATGCCAAGAAAAGTTTTTATTGCAAGCACAGTGAGCAGAAAGATGTCTTCTCACACAAAGTGGCCACAAGGTCTGCCATTAACTAAATCTCTTTGACAACCCTTCATTGGTTTAAAGCATGTGAATTAGCTTCTTACTATCAGGTGTACATCATTTCTGCCATGTGGGACATTTTCTTGGGAATATACAAGTAATATTCCATGTAGCCTGATAGGTCCTCAATGGTCACATCATCCACATAGACTCGAGCTTGCTCAGAACAGGAACGGGGAGAGCCAGACAGAGTTCTGGTGTGCAGCGACTGAGAGTAGTCCTCAAGTGTGGATCTTCGTTCTGGGGCCAAGGGAGGAACATTCTGCAGGCCTGAAAAGGAATACACTTCCATATCATGCCATCTCTTACACTGGCACTCCTTGCCTATGCATGCACATGGCTTGCCCTGGTTTAGCTTGGAAACAGATTGAAAGTCAGAGAGATCGCTGGCCTTGAGACTTGTGTGGGAGACTTGGGTAGCATCACAGGAGTCTTCTGTCTTACTCTCTGATGAGAGCCTTGGAACTGAAGTTCCCAAAGGCTCAACAACTCCCCCTGTGTGATTGGCATCGAGTGAAGCAGAGCTTTCTCCTGCACTGAACTCTTTAGGAGTTGATATTCCCAGCCCACTGCTGCCATCAGGGGGGTCAGTCTGGCTTCTGTGCTTGAGCTGGCTGCTGGAAGGAGATACTATTGTACTGCAATGTATGAACTTTGGAGGATGAAGGACAGGAGACTTAGAACGTCGACGACGCTGGGTTCTCACTGCTCCTCGTGAAGACTTCCTTGTAGACCTAAGAGAAAAATATAGAAAATGTTGGGGATACAGAACCCTCCCCACTGATTCTTGATGACAGCTGGAAATCTACCGCCTCCCAGGTTGAATAAGTATAAAGTTATAAATTTCCCCCAAAGAAATGTGCCTCCCTCCATTTTCAAGCTGCCTAAGTATTTGTATCTCAAAAGCCACATCATCCCCTTGATAGCAAGCTATAGAAATAGGAGAGAAAACTGAATTATTTAGAACAAACATGTGGTGTGGAATACCTACCTTGTCTCCACCTATGTTTGTGAATCTCTGACCAAGGGGAATGGGGAAGCACCCTGCACAAACTGATGCTGAAAAGCCTAAATGTCATGCCCTAAGCCTGAATTCAGTGCCATTTCAAGGCTAGTGCTCCAAATGGCCAAATAGCCATTATGCCAGTATAGTAAACAAAGCCTCAGATTTATGACTCATATCTATAATTGGTAACAACCAACAAAAAAATAAACAAAAGGATTTAGATTCTGATGTTCTCAGATACTGGGAGAATTCTCAGACACCCTATATAAGTTAATTACTTGTACAATATTTAAAGAAAAGAACTGAGTAAAGAAAAGAAGACATGACACTGGGAAGCAAATTAGAAAAAAGAACCAAATGGGGCTTTAAAGAAATAAAAATTATATTTGGAATTAAGCTAAATGAACAGGCTAAATAATATACATAGCTAAGGAAAGAATTATTGAACTGGAAGAAAAACTGAGTTGTTTTTAACAGGGACCAGCAAGTTATAGCCTGTGAGTCAATTCCAGCCCCCATCTTGGTTTGTTTGGTGCTGGGAACTGAACTGAGGCCACATGCATTAAGCATGTGTTCTATCACTGAGTGACACCTCCATACCTGTTTCTGTACAGCCCATGAACACTTCTCCAGTAGGCTAACACTATAAAACATGGAGACTAGAGTACAGCGGCCCCTGAACCCCTCTATTCCCTACTGCCTGCTAGTGGGCATGTTGCAGCACTGTCCAGGGCCCACATGGGTTATCGTCTACATACTGGCACTGGCTAGGCATCACAGCTCAATAATGTGACCAATGCCAGGATCTCTGTAGGAGAGATGGGCATGCTGGGATCTGGGTGTCATTGAGACAGAAAGTAAAACCAAATCTGGTGCTTCTCCCTACCCATCTGTTCCACCAGGCCCTCCTTGTCAGGCTATTCATTTCATCCTGAGACTGTCTCAACAAATGAGCACAAAGTATGTCCATGAGGCAGAATGGCCCACCCTAGGCAATAGCATGGGGCAGTAATTTTCTCTCTTAAATAAGTACCTATAGAATATCCTTTAATTTTTGCCTATTGGTCTCCAAAGCCTAATATATTTACTATAAAACCTTTAACAAAAAAAGTGTACCAGCTCCTAATCTAAAAGGTATACAGACAGATGAATATGGAAAAAATGAAAAAGTCACAAGAAATGGAAAACAGAATAAGTCTGTAGTCTCTGAAGTAAAGAAATCAGAGGACAAGTGACTTGTAAAGAGGTAATGGCTGAGATATATTTTTAAACTGATAAAAGAAAAAAATCTATAGATATAGGAAGATTAGAAAAATAATCCATATCTAGACTCTGTAGCAAAACTGTAGAACAACAAAAACAACAGAAAGATCTTAAAAGGAGGCAGAAACAAGTCAGATTGTTTCAAAGAGAACAACAATTAGATTCAAAGAAGACTTTTAATGTCAACACAATGAAGCCAGAAGACTGTGAATAGTATCTTCAGGTACCAAAAGAAAGTAAATACTTTGTGCTCATTTGCTGAGACAGTCTCAGGATGAAATGAATAGCCTGAAAGGGAGGGCCTGGTGGAACAGGTGGGTAGGGAGAAGCACCAGATTCGGTTTTACTCTCTGTCTCAATGACACCCAGATCCCAGCATGCCCATCTCTCCTATCAGGTATATCACATCTACCTTTCAAAAACAAGGATGAAAAGGAATTTTCAGGAAAACCAAAATACATTTACCAACAGGATATCATGTTATATAACCCAGGAGGCTCTGTTCATAAGTATCTGACTGCCTATTTATGTAGTGCTGGAAATGGAACCCAAGACTTTGTACATGGTAGGCAAGGCAAGTGCTCTACCACTGAGCTATATCCTCAGCTCAGGGGGCTCCAATCAAATGCATTTTCTGTGGGGTTATGCAATCCAAGGGGCCTTTTGCTAAAGAACAGATTTTCACTGAAGGAACTACCTTACGAAGAAAGGGATCCTGTATGGAAAGTCTGAGATACAAAAAAGCAAGCAAAAAAACTATGAACATGTAGATAAATAAACACATGTTGACATTTTAAATAACAGTAACAAAACATAAGGTTAAAAAGAACTAACAAAACTAAAATATTGAGCAGGTAAACCATGAAAGTGAGGCAATAAGAGAAAAAGAGTTCTAAAGAAGAGATTTATAGCATTAACTTTTTCGTCTTTGTTAAAAACATGCAAGATGATTAAAATTTCAAGGTTAATTACTAAAAGAATAAAAACAATGTATAATTTTCAAACCAGTAGATGGGTAAGTGACAGAGGGAAAAAAACAAATAAAACCCTTTATTTTTTGGAAGGTGGGAAGAGGCAAACAACATAAAGTAAAATGGCAGAAACAAGTTCAAATCCACCAATAATCAAAATAAATGTAAATGCATTAAATTCAGAAGCCAAAAAAACAAAACAAAACAAAACAAACAAACAAAAAAAAACCCTGATGACAGGACTGAATACTTATGTGAAACACACCCCAAATCTGAAAGTACGAAATGATTAAAAGAATGGGAAAAGGTGCTATGCAAACACTAAAAGAAAATGGGAGCCGGGCACAGTGGCACATGCCTGTAATCCCAGCCACTCAGGAGGCTGAGGCAGGAAGATTGCAAGTTCAAAGCCAGCCTGAGCAACTTAGCAAGGCCCTGAGCAACTTGGCAAGACCCTGTCTCAATATTTTAAAAAAGTGCTGGAGATGTGGCTTAGTGGTTAAATGCTCCTGGGTTCAATCCCTGGTAGGGAATAAAACAAAAACAAAACACAGGGCTAGTTAAATTAATTCCAGGCAATACGGACTTTAAGACAAAAGTCATTATAAAACTACATAAAAGTTTCAATTCACCAGTGAAGAAAAAACTCTAAAACTTGAATGGACCTAGGTTCTATGTACCTAATAATTCCAAAACAAAGAAAGCAAACACATAGAACTTAAGGGAAAAACAGACATATTTACTCCAATGAGGGAGATTTCAACATACCTCTTGATAGGTCAAACTGAACAAAAAAATTTAAAAAGACTAAAGTAATACATTTAAAGCCTAATTTAACGGACATAGAATTAAAAAAAAAAAAAAAATGGAGAAAACTCATTCTTCTCAAACACATAAAATATTTATAAAAATTGACCCTGATCAGGCCAAACAGAAAGTCTTGACAAATTTACAACTAAAGTGTTTCTCTATTCTAATTGCTGGGCGGTGGATTCTATATTGTGGCATTTCTTTTTCTGGACACTCAGGAAGGAAAGTCCCATAGTACTTTAAGGGACTGGGATAAAAATCATCTCAATAAGAAGCTCTTACCCATGCCAACTGTCTTTAGATGCACATGAGGTTTTAGGTTTGGTATCATCTGCTGCTGTTCTGACTGATGCTCTGACACTCGTGCCTTCTCCAACAGACAGCGATACTATGGACCTGAAGACAAGAACAAAGTTTACTGCTGTAGAAAACCTACAAAGAGAACTTACTGCCGTCACCAACCCAAACACAATTATTATCAATATCTATATTTTTTTTCTAAGTTTATGTTCCTCAAAAGTTGAGGTTGTGGCTCAGTGATAGAGTACTTGCCTAACATGTGTGAGGCACTGTGTTCGATTCTCAGCACTGCATATAAATAATGAATAAAATAAAGGTCCACTGACATCTAAAAAGTATTTGAAAAAAATTGGATTTGTTCTTCATTAAAAAAAAAAAAATTGCTTGGCTTTTAATATAAAGCTTTCTTCAAAACCACATTTAGAGGATCTTCAAAAGCCCATAGTTGCAAAATCATAAGCCAAGGAATGATCCTTAAGTGTAACCAACAGCAGGATATAAATAGACTTTTAGGCTGTTTATCTGGGGCAGATCAGGCCTTACATTCAGAGAGAATACTAATGACAATGGCCACTCATTTTTTGCAGGCAAACCAGAGCCCATAACTAGGTTTAGCAGCAAAACCTTTAAAAGACTCAATTTAACTTGAAAATGAACACATTTAAATGCCATAAAAATTTTAGAAAAATATTATAATTTTCATAATAAACAAATATTTCTCTGTGTTAAATCTTTATTTTAAAAGTATACAGGTTGGGGCTGGGACTAAGGCTTGGTGGTAGATCTCTTGCCTAGAATGTGTGAGGCGCTGGGTTTGATTCTCAGCACCACATATAAAGAAATAAAGGTCCATCATAACTGAAAAATATTTTTTAAATAAATAAAATTAAAAAAATAAAAGTGTACAGGTAACATAATAGGTTCCCAGTAAAGAAACGTAAAAGAGAAAAAAGGAGAACCATCCATAACCTCACGATCTAAAGACTACCAATACTTAACATTTTTGGTATAGGTCCTTCCAGATTTAATATACACACTCAAAATATAAAACACACAAACACGCATAGCTTTTACTATATATGCTATGGATAATAAAAATTCCTTAGAAAGAGACATTAATGTACTAAACTAAAAGGTATTCACTAAAGCATAATTTTATTTTATTTGTTTTTTATTTTTATTTTTAATTTTATTTTTCCTTGTTTGTATGCGGTGCCAGAAATTGAACCCAGTGCCTCATGCATCCTGGACAAGCGCTCTACCACTGAGCCACAACCCTGGCTCCTAAAGCATAATTTTAAAAAAGTAACTTGGGAATAACCTAAATATTCAACAAAGGAAAAATACTGTACTATATAAATTATGGCAAAACTATACAATGAAACATTAGGAATTCATTAAAAATATACAAAGAACTGTTAATGAAATGAAAGCATATTTATATTAGAAGAAAACACGGATAACACTTCTACACATATTATGATCTCAACTATGCAAAACACGTATATGGTATTAAGCACAGATGGTCTAGATGGTAAAATTATGATAAATTATGACTGTTCCTTCCTTTATTAATTTTTTGTAAATTTTTCTCTAACAAACATGTTACTATTCTATACTTAGAAAGGATTATGTTGTTTTGTAAAAAACATATAGACATGTGTCCTGATAAGACAAACACCATTAGGAATTGAAACCTGTTGAACAGGATCATACTAAATTCCTGGCAAGGCCAGGTTACCTTATGAGTCAGTCTCTAAGAAGTTCCCCTTGTAAATCAGCAACAATATGAAATAACTAAAAATGTATGCTGAACTATGCAAGTCTTATTCTGCTTAGTCATGCTAATGAATCACTGTTTATTTTCTCAAGTGTTCATTGCTCCTCTTCCGATAATTTTTCTCAAGGCAGATCACATGCTACAAATACCATAATTTTCAAGCATATATTATACAGATTCTTTGCAAGATATTTTATAATGAACCAGGTAATTTTTAGCAACACTAAAATGACTCAATTTCACATTCCAATTTCTTAAAACATTAGGAAGTAAGTCTGGGCATCAAGAGATTAACTTAAAGTTTGCACATGAAGGGAATTATATATCTGTTTGTCTGTGGGTGTATGTGTTTTCCCAGAATCTTCTTGATTTTAAAAAGTTATTTCTGTACCAGCAATCACAAAGCAATACACTACAACCACAATCTAGAACTATCTGCTTTTGTGCTTTATTTCCATTTCCCAAAATGGCTTATCAAAGTATTGATACAAAATGGCAAGATAAAGTATCAGAAAAACAAGGAGAAACTTTCTTGAAGTATCACAGAAGCAAATGCGAGCACCTTATCATTTGTGGTGCAAATCTATTATATAAATCTCCTCACTTGGTAGGCCAAAAATAGTGCTAGCAGTAGGTAGATACCTATAATGACAAACGTCAATTTAATTTTTACTATATTATACTATTACTACATGCATTTCTTCATATTATCTTTATTTAATGTACTATACAAAGAAATGGTTAAGAGCACAAGTTCAAAGTCAGACTGTCTGGGTTCAAATCCTGGCTCCATGTGACTAGTAGAAAGTGACTTTATTTATGAGTCTCATCAATGACATTGGTATCTAATCGTCTAAGGTGGTGATGAGGATTAAATTATGAGCATGAAGTACTTAACCCAGTGTTTGGGGGAGAGTTAAGTATTAACTATTTGTGGTGGAGTGTTCTATTCTGGTTTTTATTCATAAAAAGAAAATTTCTCATATCCATTAAAATTTTAAGATTTCTTCTGGCTTTGGGAAAATAACTGGAGTGAAAGGAGACTTGCACAGAACATTTTGCAAAGGGTCAAATATTAACATTCAGAGAGCAGCTGGTCTGCAGGTGCTCTAATTAGTTTGGCCAAAGGGTCCAAGATTATTGATCTCAGTGACAGAACCTTACTGAATAAAGGTTTCCATAGTGATAGAGTCAGCAATCAAAGACCATGAAATCAACAATGTCTTCATAGATTACGATTGAGCCAATTACACTTAGTGAAAAATACTGTGATTCCCTTGAGATGTATCCCTGATATAATCTCTTATGGGATCTGCTTGATAAAGGGGGCCTCCTCAAAGTTAAAGAAAATCAAAACACTCAATGCTAAAGCACAAATGAGCTGATATTTTTCATATTTAACATAAGATTCTTTACTTTAGAAGTAAAACAATACTGTGTGGAATTTGGTAGAATGTTATACTATTACTACTGATATATTCTATAAATAATAATGAATGTTGGAAAAGGAAAAGCTCTTTAAAGGGAAAGGACTATTTAAATCTAGTAAATAATATATTAGGTTTAATTACCCTGATGCATCCACTCTTAATTTCTTGAAAGCAGTTTGTAGACTCTCCTCCTCTCCATCCTTGGCTTCGGATTTCATTGTGAAAGTTTTTGCACTACTATGGATGTTCCCGTTAATACTAAAAAAGAAAATAAAAATAAGATGAGCAAAGTAAAAGTGGTGGGATCAAAAGGATCCCTTTTCTATCTTTGGATGGGGACATAGCTCAGTGGTAAAACATTTGTCTAGCATGCTTGAGGCCCCAGGTTTAACGCCCAACACTGAGGGGTGTGGGGGGAGACACACGCATACATATGTAAACACACACACACACACACACACACACATTTCTGATACCATAACTGTGGGAGAAAAAAAATTAATTCTAAAAGGAAGTTTCAGTGTAAATGGATCAGGAAACTGTGGGTTCTATTTCTTAAGAAGAAACCAAATGAAATAATGCAGAAAATGTGTATGTATTATGACAATTTAAACTGTCCAAATACTTGATGCCAAAATCCTATTAACCAGTTTTAGAAACTAGATCATCTCAGATATGTTTCAGTACACTTTTTAAAAGGGGAGAATAATCTCTCCAGTTGTAGATTCCTAGAAACCTGTAACACACTGACCTTACATCAAAAAGGCTCAAACTATAGCACCGATTCTTTAAAATGCTACTGGGCATTCATCTGGTCTAACCCTAACAATTCTAGTTAAATAAAACTTCATGGCACTTGATCGTATTTTTTCTAAAACAATCCTTAGCGAGGTATCCACATGCATCATGAGGAAATGTCTGAGAGACATTTGTTAAAACAGTTTTAGGAAGAAAAAAAAAACAGTTTTAGAAACTTGTTGTTGCCATTGTTAAAACAGGATTAGAAACTTATTTCAATGATTATTGATTATTCCATACTCAACTTCTTTGTTCTTTAAAAATAGCTTTGAATACTGAAATCATGAAACAAGAAAAACAAATGAATTAGCAACTAAAAAAAAATAAGGAAAAGAACTCTTGAGAAAAAATGGGAAGTAAAAAACAAATTGCTGTTCTATAGATGTGCAAAAACGACTTCTTTTTAATCAACTAGTTTGATTAACCAAAGTTCTCCATTTCTTTTGCCCTGAATTTTATATTTAAACAAAGGGGATGAAGAATTAACCAAAGCAACAAGAAACACAACAGAGACTCTGTTAATAAATTAATCTAGTGTCTAAATTAGTTTTTCATCCAGGATGAAAATTAGTACCAAATGCTGACCAAAAATTAAGCAAACCAGTATCCAGATAGAAAGAAAGGGGGGCATGGTGGTGGTGGGGCAGCCAGCACTGACAGTGTGTGCCTGTAATTCCAGCTACTCAGTAAGCAGAGATAGGAGAATCTCCCAAGGCAATTCAATTAGACTCTATCTCAAAATAAAAAAATTTTTTAAAGAGCTGGGGACACATTCAGTGGAAGGACACCTCTGGGTTGAATCCCCAGTTACCATAAAAACAAAAACAGAAAAAAAAAATAGAGAATTTCTGAAGCAAAGAATGTACTTCACCTCTTTATTTCTAATCTGGTATCCCTGACCCCATCCCCCCACCCCACCCCCCCTCACCCCAGACACTCTCAGAAGGAGTAGTGTCCTCCCTATGAATCCTTGAGTCTTCTGTGATCCCATATCTGCTCATTTCTCAGGGGTGAGTTTGATGTTATTATGAGACCTCTAATATTCCAAAGGTCAAGGTGTCATAATGTTTGATATAGCATAACCATGTAGTATCAGTAGCAGAATAAAGCAGCAAGGTATCATGATTTACTATTTATTTATGTATTTATGTGTAGAAGTTGAACTATTTTAGGCAGATGTCTTTGAGGAAAATTGAAAACAGTCTCAGAAGAATTAGCTAGCTTTCACCTCAACTTCTTAAGACTGAAAATGTAAATATAATCTTTACACATATTTGGCTGACTTATTAAATCAATACATAAACACAAGGAAACACTGTCAATACAATTTCACATTTCACTGGTCTCTAATTCATCTTGATTTAGAGGAGGATCCCCATAAATAGATAACAAAGTCCTAAATATCTAGGGGTAGGGCTAAGCAAAGATCACATATTCTAAAATATGTGAAACTCTACAGCATCTAAAAAGATGCTATAGAAGATTGTAAACAGAGGTGGGAGGGAAAGGGAGAGAGAAGGGAAATTGCATGGAAATGGAAGGAGACCCTCAGAGTTATACAAAAGTACATACAAGAGGAAGTGAGGGGAAAGGGAAAAATAATACAAGGGGGACAAATGAATGTCAGTAGAGGGGGCAGAGAGAGAAGAGGGGAGGGGAGGGGAGGGGGGATAGTAGAGGATAGGAAAGGCAGCAGAACACAACAGACACTAGTATGGCAATATGTAAATCAATGGATGTGTAACTGATGTGATTCTGCAATCTGTATATGGGGTAAAAATGGGAGCTCATAACCCACTTGAATCAAAGTGTGAAATATGATATATCAAGAACTATGCAATGTTTTGAACAGCCAACAATAAAAAATTAAAAAAAAAAAAAAGATTGTAAACAAATTTTTTCTGATGCCAGAACTAAATTAAAATTTGACTTATAGTTCTCCTGGATTACTTTATGACCAAATGCTTTGTCTATAAGCATGTACATAGTTAATAAATCATCTGAACCCAGTCTCCCTAACCAGAAGATCCTCACACAAACAATCTTGGGGTTCTTATGGAAATAAATCAGTCTAAATAAATAAAGAAGAAAGTACACAGCATGTGTAAGTATACACTGCTGGATTCTACAGACAGAAATTCATTCCTCCCACCAATATTTCCAAAATTCCTACCATGTATATGCTTGGCACGGGACTCAAAGGCTAGGGATAGAAGGGTCCCTGGGAACTCCATTTCTGTAAAGACTGGAATCTCATTCCCGCCCTCCAGAAACTTAAAATACATCACTGCCTGAGCAGCTTTGCACCCAGATATGTAACTTTTAATTATAGAGTGCTGACTTAATAGCAAGGCAGGTGACCACTCGAGGTGTTAATACAAATTTAGTTAATATTCTTGTTGACATATTTAAAAAGATCTATTATCTAAAAACCAAAATAGGCCAAAATAAAATTTCGGTTACAGACTAAAACTTCAAGAATGAAGTATTGTCTAAACTATGTTCAGACTTCCAGTATTTCAACTACTTATGTTTATTTTCTCATTTATTTTAACCCAGAGCAAAGGTGAATCTCAGGCATGACCATAAGAGAGAGATCAGAGCCTGCTTGTAATCACAAAAGGCTCACTCTGTGCTCCTCTGTATTCCTAGGTTTCCATTCACTCAAAGCCAAAAGTTGTACAACTAACTTAAGCAACAAATATAATTGGTTTGCCCACCTTCATTAATATCAAATTTATGAAAGACTATTTTCACTGCAGACTGCTGTATTTTCTTGAAGCTGAACAATCCCCAAAGAGATTAAACTTGTAAAGAAAGGCCTATCAAAAGTCATTTTGCATTCCCAGCGACTCAGAAGGCCAAGACAGGAGGATCATAAATTGGTGGCCCTAAGCAAATCAGCAAGACCCCGTCTCAAAATTAAAAAAAAAAAGGGCCGAGGATGTAGTTCAGTGGTAAAGGGCCCTAGGTTCAATACCAAGTACCAAAATAAAATAAAATAAAAATTTAAAAAATAATTTTGCATTGTTTTAAGCCAAATCACACCACAATTTAATTCTGCTAGAATTCCCCTCAATCTTTCAAAAATGACAAAGAAAATTCTTGTGTAAGTTCTTCCATCAAAAGAGAAAATTCCTGATTTTCTCTTTCGACGAACAGCATGCACATGATTTCCATCTTTACGTTTTAACCAAGACCTCCTTAAACTTCAAGCCTAATTCTCCATTTCTAGGACCCTGAAAAGACCTGAGAACAATTAAAAAGGGATCCGCACGTAAGCGTGTCATCACAATGTTAAAAGATTTCGAAACTTTTCCTGACCACCATGGAGCCTAACTGTTCAGCAACCCTCATAGATGCAAACAACACCGGGTTGAGACAATCGACCCCAAAGACAAAAATCACACATCTCTCTCTGCACGACCACTCAACCCAACAATCGCAGGACTACAGCCAAAACACCACGTTAATTCGTTCCAACTAGAATCTGGGCCTGTCGCGGTTAAACAGAATCAGGAAAAGGCCAGGACCTGAGGCGGGGGTCTCGGATAAGTGTCTCGGAAAGCTGCCCCCTCGGAAGAATTCCCAGGCCGGAACCGGAGCCGAGGAGCTAGGGATGCGGGAGAAGACGGAAGCGGACCCGAGGGGAGCAGCCGACGAGAACCGGGCTCGGAGGAGAGCGGGAAAAGGCGGGAAGGGGCAAAGGGCGGCCCAGGAGGGCGAAAAGGGGAAGCTAAGGCTGGGCGGGAGACCTCGAAGGAGCGGGGCGGAGACGGCGGGAGGACAGAAAGGCGGGAAGCGGCGAGAGCGCGGAGCTCCGGCAGATCCAGACCGCCGCGGAATAGCCGGCGCCGAGAGGCGCAGGCTCAGGCCCGGCCCAAGTAGTCGGTGCCGGGAGAAGACGCTACGAGAGGTGGGCGAACCCAGAGGAAACTGCCCGCGCCCGGGCAGGACCTGGAGGCCGACACGCCGTCCCTCGGCCCCTCCCCGTCACGTCAGGGCACTTACCTCCTCGCAGCTGGGGCGCTCCGGTGATCCGGTCCCGTCAGTTCAGATCGTCTCTCCCCGACCGCCGCGCCTGACTGACCCGGATCCAAACCCGCGGCAGGGGCGGCCCGCGCCTCCGGAGTCGCATTGCGCCTGCGTCATTCGGCACGCGCCCCGCCTCCTGCTCATGCCCCTCCCACCCCAGTGACTCGGCAGCGCAGTAGGCTTGGCCGCGCAGGCGCGCGGTGGAGGACGCGTCTCTCCTTGTCCCGCCCCGCCCCTCTCAGAAGCACGTGTGCTCACGTCATTTCCTGTTATTCTTTTCGCTCCCACTCCCGTGCTGCGGGTTTGCTGGGGACCGACTCTTGGGGTGTGTCTGCTTCCTCTTTTCTGTCAGGTGAGTGAGTAGGCGTAACTCTTCCCCGTGGCCAAGCCGTCTCCACTTCCCGGGGGTCTCCTTGTGCTTCGTCCTTCACTAGGAGTCGCCAAGGCAACGGGATTCCTCGAGGGTGAGGTCCGCGTGCGGGAGCCTTCGTGCTGACAGAGACCCTTCTGAGAGTTTGGCCAAGTCCCCTCAATGCCGGGGTATGGATCGCCTGCAAAGTCTTGGGCTCGGGCCGCAACCCTTGCCTCCTGGGATCTTTTCAGGGCCTTCTGAGAAGCGAGGAGGTATCGGTCATAGTTGTGACCAGGAATGCTAGGCCAGAATTAAAATCGAAATGCCTTCGCTTCTGATGCCTCTGTTGGATTCAAGGCAACTGCTTATCCTCTCCGAGCCTCAGTTTCTTCGTCTAGTAAATGAGGAAGTTGGACGATATCTGCATGTGTCCTTTTTTCAGGGACTCCTTTGAGAATCTGGTGAGAACTATAGACCCTTTCGCCAGAGAAATGCACATACACACCAAAGTTTTCCACAAAGTTTAGGCAGGTCACCTACGTTGGTGATTTTTTGAGGGATCGCTATATATTTATGATTCTGATGGTCACTCGGCAGACGGGAAAGGGGTGGGGTGAGCGCTGCAGCAGCTGCTGCCTCCTCATCACCAGGACTGGTTCTGCCAATCTAGCTATGCCTCTCCTCACCTGCCTTTGCCCAGCTCCACTTCTCAAAGCTTCGTGGGAAAAGATGACTGTCCTCAGTTCTGTTACTTTTGACCCAATGTCACAATGGCAAAAGGTGTGACTTTTGCAGTCGAGGGGAAGAAATAAAGAATGTCCGCGCTTCTGCCTTTGTCAATGCTTTATTCACTCAAATCATTCAATATAATTTCACTCTATAGGTTCTTTTTTTTAATATGTGGGGTTTTTTTAGTTGTAGGTGGGCACAATAACCTTTATTTTTATGTGATGTTGACTTTTGAAGCCAGTGCCTCACGTGAGCTAGGCAAGCGCTCTACTGCTGAGCCACAACCCCAGACCCTCTATAGGTTCTTAATCAAGAAAATGACAATACTTAGTGCTAGACACTGAAAGAGATGTAATTCACAGCAAACAATTATACATTAATTCTAAGCGCCGCAAACACACTTAATCATGACAAGCTCACGACAGACATTCCCTCTGCATGCTAAGCTCAAGTGTGAGATCAAAAGTCTCAAGGCTTAGGCTCTAAGTCCAGCAGATGCACACTCCCTCAGACTGTGGTGATCAGATCAGGAACCAAGGCAGGCTTCTCCTGGGGTGGAGCTGATGGCTGGCTGAGGAAGTGGTCACAGGGAGAAGTCTTTTTCTCACCAGAGTCAAGTGGCTGCTGTAGAGTATGAGAGCGGAGAGAATAACACAGAGGATCAGGCAGATGAGAAGAGTTGGGATGTCAGTCTAGGTCCTCACGAGGCTCTCAGACTTGTGTGCATCAGTGTCGACTGGCTGAATGTCTGTTAATTTGCTCCTTCATTTATACTAAATTTTGGGGCTTTGACCACCCTTTCAGCCCCTATCAGCTGCCACTGGGTCTCTCAGTGATGTCTTTACCCTGGTGTTAAAGCACTGGGTCTGTTGGTTCCCACCCTGATTTTCTTGCCTTTCCCCTTTATGGGGCAAGGACAACATGCTGGAGACTTCACTCTGGGATTGTCAGGGTGGGGAAAAGTGACTTGTTTGTGCCTAAGCACCATACTGGAGGGCTCCGTTAGGCATGCCTGGTGAGACTGCAGGTTTCAAACTGGAGTTTTAAGAAGGAGTTGCTGGGCTGGGGATGTGGCTCAAGTGGTAGCTCGCTCGCCTGGCATGCGTGCGGCCCAGGTTCGATCCTCAGCACCACATACAAACAAAGATGTTGTGTCTGCCGAAAACTAAAAAATAAATATTAAAAAAGAAAAATTCTCTCTCTCTCAAAAAAAGAAAGAGTTGCTTAGGCTCAGGCCTAAGGCCATCCTTACCCCCAGCCCTAGAGTGAGGGAGTAACCCTGAACCCAAACTGGCTCCCTCACCCTTATTCTCCAGTCCTACTAGCTGAATAGGCTTTTGAAGACAGTTCACCTGTATCAGCTTAACTACACCCATGGAATGCTTGACTCTGGGAATGAATTAAAATTAATTGTACAGACAATCACCCAACTGCTGATGGTTTAAATTAGGATTTTTTGACTTCATGATGGTGTGAAAACATATTGCATTCAGTAAGAACTGGGCTTCAAATTTTGAATTTTGATTTTTTTTTCCTCAGGGCTTGAAATATTCCCTCTTAGGATGCTGGGCTTAGGCGGGGAACTGCAACTCCCACTGTCAGGCAGTCACCTAGTCAGGAGGGTAAACCACAGAGACCCTACAGTGTACTGTTGCCAGGCTTTGATGTTCAGTAAGTTATGTATATCAAATGCATCTTTGGTTTAAGATATTTTCAGTTTATGATGACTTTATCTCGGTGTAACCCCATCATAAGTGGAAGAGTATCGGTATAAGTTTGCTAAAGCATGTTGTAGGCGTAGGTAAAAAACATTTTAGATTCTTGTTTATATCAGCGGCTCAATAACTGACAGGGGATGAAAGAAAACTGTAGTTATAATATGATGCTAATAAATAATGGCTTTCTTTTTCTGAGTAGCAGTTATGTACATATGCTCATTTACTATTCCTGTGATTTTATACATTCTACAGGTGAGGATGAATGGGACTCAGAAAGATTAGGTAACTTGTTCTAACTCCTGTGGTCCTGTGTCACATAGTAAGTCAGGATTTAAACTGTCTCAAACGCCTATTGATTCTCAGCTGCTCTTCTTGACAACTTCTGAAAAAGAAGAGGGAAATTGACATTTTTTTCTCAGAAGTTTCCAAATGTTGCATCAATACCAAATATGGGTTTTTAAAGCTGCCATTTCAAAATATACCTTGAGTTAAAATCTCACACCTCTTTTGAGTGTGAGGACTGTGTCTAGATCATTGTTGAATTCCCAGAGCTTAACACAAAGCCTGGGAGGTAACTGCTCAATACAGTTTGGGTGAATTCTCATTTTACTTTACTTTTACCTGTTAAGACATTAAATACTAAAAACTAAAAAAGAAAAAGTTTCTTTTTTTGTAAGCCTCTCCATCATAAAGTTAGATATTGTTTGAGATGTGAATCATTAAGAGGTCTGAAAGGTGAGAACCTCTTGTGAACACTGAAGTCTATTAACTCACACTTGATGCAGCTTTAACTTTCAAGTCATTATATAGAGGACTGACTCACTGTGTAGGACATCATGACTTGGAATGAGATGGAGAAGCTACAAAATATGCTCTCTGATAATTCTAGCTACTCAGGAGGCTGAAGCAAGAGGATGGCAAGTTCAAGGCTGGCCACAGCAATTTAGAGAGACAATAAAATGTATCAAAATAAAATGGAAAAAAGGGTGAGGTGTTGGGATATAGCTCAGTGGGATATAGCATTTGCTTAGCATATGCAAGACCCTGGATTTAAGCCCCAGTTTAAAAAAAAAAAAAAACACCCCCATCTTGCTAAATAAAAATCCAAACCTGAATGAACAAAAAGCTAGACTTGGGCCCTGTACCAACAGTATCTTTTTAGCCATCAAAAAACTCTGAACAGCTGGGCACCGTGACCCACACCTATAGTCCCAGTGGCCCAGGAGGTATAAGCAGGAGGATCACAAGTTCAAAGCCAGCCTCAGCAACTGCAAGGCACTAAGCAACTCAGTGAGACCATCTCTAAGTAAAATACTATATATGGCTGGGAATGTGGCTCAGTTGTTGAATACCCCTGAGTTCAATCCCCAGTACCAAAAAAAATCTCTGAACTTTGAGGATCTTATGTTCAGGAAATTAACTAGGTATTGACTTAATGCACATACAGATGCTGTTTAATTAAAAGGCTGTGCTAGTTATAAGATTCCTGTTAACAGTGACAGGTGTTTTGTTAGTGGTTCTTCTAACCTTCTTGTGATAGGTATCCTATAAGTGATTGAACATGGAGGACTTAATTCCATCAAATTAATGCTGCAAAAACAGTCAGCTTATTTAGGATGATCTTTTATTTTTCTACATTTTTAGGATAATTTTTTTTTATCTTAAATACAACTTTGGAGAAGGCAAGTTCAAAGTCTTTTTTTTTTTTTCTTTCTCCCCACAGTGCCAGGGATCAAACCCAGGGCCTCATGTATACTAGGCAGGTGCTCTAACACTCAACTACACCTGTAGCCCAAGTTCAATTTTAAACAATTTTATTTCCCTAATGATATGGTTTCCATCGTAATAGTGGTAATCTAGAAAAGTAGTCTTTTGTTTTAAGGGTCAAATAAGTCAATTTATTCCTTACCTTGGTATACTTTTTGTTTATTTATTTTTATGTGGTGCTGAGGATTGAACCCAGGGCTTTGCATGTTAGAGGCAAGCGCTCCACCACTGAGCCACAACCCCAGCCCCACCTTGGTATACTTTTTAAAATGACTAGGGTAGAAAATAGTGGTGATCTCATTTGTGTCTTAATTACAAGTGTGGTCTCTTAATCTTCCTAATTAACTTGTGAAACAGGTCCTTTTACTATGTCCATCTTACAGCGAGGAAGCTAAGGCTCACACAGTTAGATAGCTTGTCCAAGGTTACACAGCTTGTTAGTAGCAGAATGAGGATTCAAATCTAGACGGGCTGACTCTCTACCTCCCTCTTGATTGCCCTCACATTGCTTTTCCTAGCCTCCCACACCTCCTGACTAGACCAGGGATCCCTGCTTTTACCTGTGCTTGA